GAACTTCCAGACTACAAACCCAGTCTGTATTTTTGCTTGAAAAAGCTCATCAAGGGTACATTCCCGTACTTTCTCGTATCATTAAGTGGCATGATTGGCACTGGTCTGCTCGTCCAGAACACGTCATTGATGAACGCTCTTTTCCAGTACAAACTTCACTTTTATATCGGCAATGTGTTTAATCTCGTCTTCACAGCTGGTATCGCTATAGCAGCAAGGACAATCTACAGTAAAGAGACTAGCCAAGGCCACGGTCGACGGGGTGCATTACGTGTAATTTCTGGACGTATCGGTAAAGTTTCAGCTACTTCTCGTACCCATCGAGCGCCAAATTATCGCTCTACAAGCTTCTGGCGTGAATTTATTATCCAATTACCGCACGCTGTCCATATAGCAATTTGTGGCGGGTTTGTGCACGTTGTGTCGTGGTATGGCGTGTTGAATCAAGGAAAAGTTGTGATCATGGGTTTCACAATGCTTGGGATTACCATGAAACTTTTGATTCAAGAAGCTGCAAGACACTATATCCTTAAGAAAAAAATCCGAGGGATACGCACCATGTGTCTTCTGGTGGGACTACCGACTGTATTAATTGATACCCAATCACGAATCGTGTTATTGGGCACTCAAACGAATTCGTTTCTTGTAGCGGGAACGATTGCTATGGCTGTCGCTGAAATGTGTCTTCGCGCCGGGAAAGCTGCTTATGTTGCGCGTTCTATTAGACGTCGAGCGTCTGATCTTGAAGCAAAAATACTGGAGCTATCATCTAATACTGAGCAATCGGTAGAGACTTCTGCTTCATCTTTGAGATTGGAATTTGATCTGTGGAAACGACAGATTATTTCTTATCACACCGCTGAATTGACTGCTGATATGTATGCAGAGTATATCGCCATTGGGTGCTCTCAATCGATCATTTTCTGGTGGTCTGGACACCCTTTTTACCCTGCATTAGAGCTGGAAACTGGAGGTGCCATGAATCCGGGAGATGTCGCCATGTGGCGGTTTAATCAAGTGGCTATGCTCGCATTCCAGTTCGTAGTTGAAATTTTTGTCGATTATTTGTGCGTTGTGGTGGAGATGGCTGCAGGGATCGATTTCGCCCGCATCGAAAGTCGTAGTACCTTTCTAGGAGTCGTGTTCATGATGATGGCCGTGCTTAACATCAACATTTCGAGTGTTGTGTATCTATCTGCTCCACGAGAACGACAATTCGAAAAACATTAAGTATCGAAGTTATTTTAAGCGTAAAATTAAAAATCATAAAATTTCAAGTTTAATATAGCATTGAAATGGTCCATGTAGTGACACAAACCAGTCTGACATGACATCAAAGCCTTCAATCCTGTCAAGTCCTCGCGTTGCTGCACTCATTTTCGCTCGTGATCAACATCGTCGAGACGCTGTAGTACCGCACCCAATCCTTAACTCCCCGCTACCAAGAAGCCATTTCCGTCAATCTAGGCGATTACAACTGGGTCTACAATGGTCGCAGGCCGCCAAATTGCAGATTTTCGTCGTCCGCAATGCTCTGGGCTGCGTCATAGCTGCAGGATGCGCCAATGGCTGTTTTTACGCTGGGAATGTTTTTTCGCTGAAGTCTTCGACGCAGCAATCACGTCCGGAATTCCTCATGGCTACATTGATATGGAACATCTCATTGTATGCGGTTGCCATGACTATTTCTCATTTACCTTCTCTGGTGACTCAGCGGTTCGTAAAATATCCAGAGAATAAGCCGAATCTATGGTTTTGCACGAAAAAACTCGTGATAAAATCGGGATTTTACTTCGCCGGGTCATTGGCTGGCATGGTTTCTGTGGGGTTGCTGGTCCAAAATACGTCGCTAATGTACCGTAATTTTAAGTACAAATTGCACTTCTATCTCGGTGACCTCTCTAGTATCATATTCACGACTGGAATCATGCGGGTAGCAAAGAAAATCTACTACGAAGAGACTTTTCAAGGCCGAGATCGACGCAGGGCTCGTGTCAAGAGAATCCACTTAACTTCTTCAAAATCGTCTCGAAAGGTTCATCCCACGCAGAATTATCGGTTTCTAAGTTTCTGGAGAGATTGCTTGGTTAAATTTCCTAATGTTCTGTTGATCGCTTTGGCTGGTGGATACGTTCACATAGTGTCGTGGCACCGGATTCTGGATCAAGGAACAGCTGTTATTTTGGGATTTACTGTGTTTGGAATTGTCTTGAAGCTCGTTCTTCAAGAAGCTGTAAGGTTTTACATTATCAAGAAGAGAATCCGAAGTATCCGCACCATGTGCATCCTCGTGGGAGTTCCTACTGTGCTCATCGATACTCAAACTCGAATTGTTCTACTGGGAACTCAAACAAATACCATTCTGGTATCTGGAACGTTTGGCATGGCAATAGCTGAGGTTTCTATACGTATTGCGAAAGCGCTTTTTGTTTTATGGACGATTCGTCGCCGCTCCTCTGCTCTTGAGCTGAAATTTCAGATAAAATCTTTAGTGACTGAAAAATCCGGCAAAAATCTGTCTTCTCTTCCTCTGAAACTGGAATTTGAATCGTGGAAACAGCGAGTTCTCTCTTACCAAAGTGCAGAGATCACTGCCGATATGTATGCCGAGTACATTGCAATCGGTTGTTCGCAGTCTATTGTCTTCTGGTTCGTTGGACATCCGTTCTATTCAGCTCTTCAGCTCGAAGCAGATAATGGATTATCCGAAGCTCATTTCGCCAGATGGAGATTTAACCAGGTAGCCATGCTCGGATTCCAATTTATCGTCGAAATTCTGGTCGATTATGTTTGCGTCGTGCTGGAAATGGCAATCGGCATGGAATTCGATCGAATCAAAGAAGCCAGCACGTTTTTAGGAGTGATGTTCATGACTCTCGCTGTCCTCAACATAAACATCACCACTGCTGTTTATCTGTATTGATTTCAGCGATGAAACAC